AATTTCAGCATTACAAATTATCAGCAAAAAGTATCTATCCATTCTTTTTTTATCAATATGTATCAATTCAGCAAACTTGGGCTACATTTTTTATTATGCTTGGCTACCAGTAGATGTCACTATCTGGCAATTGTGATCAATAGTAAAAGTGGGAAAGGTGCTCCCAAATGATCCTACACAGTAGTTGGTCATTAATGCCAAATGAAACTGGGATTTGTTAGTGAAGGAAGCACACTGCCAGTTCATAGCAGTCCATGCTTCTCTGTCATGACACTAATGCAAACAAAGATTATCATGTCAGGATGCTAAAGGCAGGATTTTATTACTATACATGCAAATTTTCCTCTACTAGTTGCCTATAAATGATACAGGAATCCTGTAGTAAGGCTTATGGTAAATGCATTGCAAAGATGTCAAAAATGTATTGCAGTTGTTTGTACTTGTCTCATAATCATATAATAGTCTCTTCAGATGGTCTGTCTGGGATGTCCAGATCCTGCCTGTCATGTGTGTCTTCACATATCAGCTGCCTCAAAACTTTCTTAGTCAGCTTGTAACAACCCAGATGACAGACAAATTGGCCAAATGATCATCCTGCTTCCCTCAGCTCAATTATGTGACATTTATGAAGCTCTATTAACTGTGCATAAGGTCTTTGATTGCATCATATTATCATGTCTGGCATTTGAACATTACCAAACAACAGCCACACTGAAAATTCTGAACACAGAGTCTCTGCAAGCCTTTTTATAGGATATTGGAGTTGCAATTTTAAGGCACTCCGGTGTCATTGTCTAGCATGCAACTGGACAACTGTAATGATTTACATATGTGATTGTAGTCTAAAATAAAGTTATATTTTATTAAACCACTCAAACCTTTATTATATAAATTATTTATTAACTGAACATTTCGGCTGTTTAAGCAGCCATCTTTAGAATACAAGAAAAGCAAAGAATAAAATAATAAAATATAATGTTAAATGGAATTTGAATTAGCTCAAATATAGAACAAGATCATAATGAAAATTACAAATAAAATTAAAAAACTAAAAAACGCAAAGGGTTTTTATGCATTTAGTATGTTAAAGTACACTAAATGCATAAAAACACTTTATGTGCTGCATAAAAACACTTTATGTGCTACATAAAGGCATAAAAACCCTATGTATATTTTATTTTTTATTCATTTAGTGTGCTTTAGCACACTGAATGCATAAAAAATAAAATATAAATAGTGTAGCTACAAACCATATTGTTAAATAAAGAAAGAGTATGTATTTTAGCTAACACCCCCTATTATATTCATATAAACACTTAAAGTAGGTATTTCTAGGCTAAGGAATTTTAGCGAAATTCACTCTATCTGGGGCATAACTTTCTTTATCAACAAGTATAGAGCCAGAATTCTATGTGCACGGTATATGTTTCCTTCACAGTTTTTATAACAAATACTTCAATGCAAACAATAAATAGATGTAAATATAATATGTACTTAACATTATGCCACCACAAAGCTAGAGCAGCATTGTGACATTAACTGTGCACTAAAGCAGTGCAAGAACACAGCTTTGAAATAGCACTTGACTGGAACTTAGTTTTTGAGCACATCAAATACTGTATTAGCCCAAATATTAGTCAATGCTTTTTCCCAGTTTTAAAAGCACCATAAAAAAATTTACTCTCAACCTATATTTAAACTTCAACTCTTAATATTCATGTCTAATTAAAGTTTTTCTTCAATATCAATAACTGTCTGCAGTAAGCATACAAAATTAAACTGATGATAAAATTTGGAGCATAGATTGTTTAACTAAGTGATGTGACCCATTATACTGAAGCCAACAAATAATGCACATAAATCAAGTGTTTGGCACAATTTTAAATATAAACTTTGTAAAAATGTTTATATTATAATAATATGTATAATTTATTATTTTTGTTCTATTTTTCTTTGCTTTATTTTTAAAATATGCTACGTTTGTTTTATCTTTTTATACTGAGTGATCTTTGTTATACATTCATTTCAATATTTTAGGGTTTGTTATAGAGAGCAATTATTGAATGCTGTTAAGAAATATCTGTAAAAATTGAACATATAAATATAAAATAATATATAACTAAATGGCTACACAATACAATACAGCTATGATTTCATTTTCTTCAAATATATTATAGTTTCAGTACATAGCAATGATTATTTATTATGAATTTAGAAATTTTTAAATCTTAACCAGTATTTTATACAAGGGCTGTTTTTTTTTTCAAGCTCTGATGGTCCATAAAACAAATACAAGTGTAAGTAACAAAATGAATTTATTACCAAAATTTAGGTACAAACATGGTTATTTTTTGACATAATCACCATGAAGATTGAGGCATTTGTCACATCTGTGGATGAGCTTTCCCATCCCCTTGTCATAGAATGTTGCTGCCAGTGAATTGAGATGGCCTTAACAACATTGTTTTGAAGATCGTCATTAGTTCATTAGTCTCAAACCTCTGCCCTATTGAGGTGGAAATGTGTGAAGAGGTGGAAGTCTTCACACATTAAAAATTTTTAAACTGGGTGGAAGTCTTCACCACCTTTAAACACCCAGAGTATAGCCCCAATTAGCACCAAGCGACTTCCACCTCTTTCCTGAACAGGAAAAGTGGCTAGGAGGGCAGAGGTTTGAGACTAATGATAATTTTCAAAAAAACGTTAGGGCATATCTCAAGTTATTAGTGGCAACATTCTATGACAAAGGGATGGAAAAGTTTGTTCACAGATATAATAAATGCCTCAATCTTCACAGTGATTTTGTCAAAAAGTAACCATGTTTGTATCTAACTTTTGGTAATAAATTCATTTTGTTATTTACACTTGTCTTTTTTTTATGGACCATTGGAGCTTGAAAAAAAACAGCCTACGTATACAATATTTTTGTGAATTGTTTGGCATATCAGTCTATTGGGGAGAGACCACAAAATTAAATATTTTAGTATGGTAAAAATCAGCATGTTGGTTTAATTAAACGAGGTTATACATCCCTCTCTACAGGGCACATTGAAAAATGAACAAGCTTTTATTCTAAAACTGTGAAACTGTCAGCATTATATCAAAAACTATAATTATATGTTTAATTTCTTCATTTTGTCTTCTTTCTAACAACCTAAAATAGTCAACAGAATTCTGAAAGTGCTTTTTTATGTGCTGTTAAGAGCCGATTATTTTCTTGCAGGTTATTCTAAAATTATTTAATTAAATTATAATTTTAGTTATTTGTTGAAACCGTGTCTTCTTTTTCTTGTTTCTTCTAATTCTATGTCACGACTTGGTGCATTTATCGACACTTGGCACAATACATACATTTTAATTCATACAGAAACGCATTTCGGGCTTCCGCCCCTCTTCAGTCTGTTACATCGATAGTATACGGTATCAGTCTGAGATTTTCCGTACTTCCCGCTCCCTTCCCCTCCCATCTTCTCCCGACTTGACGGCCTCCCCCGCATGCCTCGTAATTTGTAACTTCACCCCTCCCCGAGTGTTGCGTACAGCCTCGCCTGCGACTGTATAAACATTCTATTTTAATAATTGTAGCCAGTTTTTATGGATGTCAATGCTTAGGTTCTTGTTAATATTATTTTTGTCTATAGTAATTTCGTAGCTTTCTTTGAATTTTCTTTTCAATTTTTTTCTTTGTGTACTATTATTGCATCATTCTTATCTATTTTGCAGTTGTGGGTCGTGCAATGTTCGTAAAAAACAGAGTTGATTCTATTATACTTCAGGTCTGCGATGTGTTCTTTTAATCTTGTTTCTAATTTTCTTTTTGTTTCACCGATGTATACTTTTGGGGGTTCGCATGTGCAAGGTATTTTATAGACGACTTCGGTAGTGTTGTATTTGTCTGGTTGTTTATTTCTGTCAGGTATAGTCTTCCGGATTCTTTTTTGCAGGTTGTTATAGGTTGGGGCTAGCTTTATATTTATTTTTTCAAAACTTTTGTTTACCTGTTCAAAGAAGCCACGGATGTATGGGAAGGGTATGTATCTTACTGTGTTTCCTTCGTTTTGTTTATTTTCCAGCCTTTTGTTGTTCATTTTCCTTTCCCAGTTGTTTAGCGTTCGTTTTGGATAGCCGTTTAATAGGAATTTTGTTCGTAGTTCGTTGAGGTGTTTTTCCTTCGTCTGTGGTGAGCTTGTTCTGTTCTCGATCTTTTTATATTCCATGTTGAATATGTTTTCTTTTATGTACTGCGGAATGTTTGAGTTGTAGTTTAATACTTTCCTGATCTCGCATGGTTTTGTGTATGGCTCAAATTCAAATTATAATTATTACATTTAATACAAGACAGCATCTAGCACCTCCTTCTAGGGACAAATTAATCTGTAATTCAAATTATTATTGTTGAAATATGGCCTGACATTATATGGCAGTTGGTATATATCTTATTGTCACTTGATTCAAAAACACAAAGATAAACAAATTAACTTTAAGAAACTCACTGTAAATTATCTTAGCTTACACCAATTAACATCCACTTTGTGTGAAATTTGAAAGGAAGATGTTATTTTTAAGGTCAGTGAAGTTGGTCAATGTAGCCCATACCGACTAATTACTGTTACTACTAATGTTACTAAGTTGTTAATTGTTTTATTGTCTTGTAAACAAAAACTCTCTTACTGATTTGAAGTCAATCAAATTACAATGTTATTTTATTGCGCTTGGAAGAATATTTTCTTTAAAACATGTAATTAACAACTAGTTTTGTTAGATCTGATTAATTGTATATTTTAGTCACAGTTTAACCAACCTGCCAGTAACAATGGGGTTTCTGACATGCTGGTCTCTCACATTTGTGTGTCAAGCCGGTCATTCTGCGAAAATACAGTATTAGATTGTGTGTTGTGATGAAAACCAATTATATTTAAAATTTTAATACAGATTTACAAACTTTGGTAAATTTTAAAGAAAATATATGATATAATAATAAGAAACGCATAATAAAAACACATCTTTAGTTAAACTTAACAAATATTTAAATGAAAATAAAAACCTTTATTATCTTTCACAGCAATTTCTTCCTTTTCTATTGAATTTATAATTTCTTTAAGAACTAGAAAAGATAAAATTCATTTACAAAATTTAGTATTCTCTTCATAATAATTAAAGGCATCAGAATTATTTTATAACAATGTATACAAGGCTTATATTCAATCTTAAAAAATAACAAAACTTTCTAGTAAAAATTTCAGCTTTCTCCAGTTGATTTTCAAATTTTTTCAAACAGATTTAAAATATTATAAAAGCGCTTCTTCTTTCAAAAAATTGAAAAAGTATATCTCAAATACTACAGTAGAGATAACAGAGACTTATAACACTGTTACTGGTAACATCAAAAACAACACTTCTATCATAGATGATATGGTAGAAGTGTTTGTAAAGATTTAAAATAGTTAATGGAAATATTGGAGGGAGGGGAAATAGTTAACAATTGTTTAGATTTATTGTTTTAATCAATATTTTAGTAATTAGAAATTCTATTTCAAAAAGACTAAAAAACTAGAGAAAAATGTTTAAAACTCTCAAAACACAAAATTGAATAAAAATTTTGATTAACAACAATACATATTATGTAAAATAAGTAGATTAAAGAAAACTATTTTAAACTGTATTTTCAAAGTTTGCAAGAATTGCAGTTTTCTTTCTGGGTATTTTTGAAAAATCTTTAAAGTATTGATACTTAGATAATTTCTATTTATAGAGGCTTTTTTATGTATCTGATATTTTGTAATGACAGTCTCTTATCACATATTTTGAAAAAATATACAGAAATTATAGAAAATCCACATTCTACACTTGTGCTTCCATGTGAAAAGTAGTATATAAAAATTTCTGAAAAGTTATAGTTTAAATATTTCTAACAATCTTTCTCCAAAAGTGATCAATATGTTTTATAGGGAGTGAATATGATTTTACCTTCTCAAGTACATGTGAAAATATTGTGAGTTCTATATCTTTCTAGCAATGCCTTATGTTGCTAAACCTGATATATGATTTTTTCTGTCAAAATTAAAATAAATTTATCTAAATTTTTTTTCGTAAATTTAAGTTTAAACAAATAATTCCAGGATCAAGACAAGATACAGCCATTGTAAATGGGTATGTTAAAAATAATTTCAAAACAATTGCTTCATTGATGTTGTATGGTAATTTATAGTTTTCACAGAATTTAAATAAATTTATAGTTTTCATCTTTTCTGGGTGTAAGTAGCAAAATCCAAATTAAATTATTATGAAAGCAAAAGATTCTTACTCTCATTTCTCTTTGGCTTATCAGAGAACAGATTCAATCACTTTGAGCTTCACAAATCACCCATTAATATTCTTCAAAATTAAACAAAAAGAAATACAAATGAAAGATACCAAGTGTGTATCTGTCTAAAATGCATTGAAAAATGATTCCATTTCAGATGCTAGAGACTTGAATGCTAGCTTTGATAAAATTTGTGATAAAAATTGCAACATTGAAATTCTTACATTTGATTACAATTTATAATTCTTTACAGTCATCCATAAATTTTTAATTTTTTATTGATATCAATAACTTTTAACAACATCTGTATTTTCAAGTCATAGAACATACTTTCTGGAAAAGACTTTAGATTTTAAATATAATGTACAGTGGTGCCTTGTATAACGTACTTAATCCATTCCTGGTGCACATCCATTAAGTGAAAAGTCCGTTATATGAAACGTTATATTATATTTTCCCATAGAAATACATGTTAAAACATATAATTCGTTCCGCGGCATAAAATAACCGTATTGTACTATAAAAAAAATTGAAAATGGAGCAGTCACCAATTATGCTGGTAGTCAGATGTTGTGAGGAGGAGGTAGAGGAACACGTTCTTTATACATTCATACAGATACAGACTTTTTACACATTGCATAAGGTCTCTTTTTATTGTTTTTAATCGGAGTCAGATTCAGGAGAGGCTACCAGAGCTTGCAGGGTCATCTCCTCTTGTTCCATCCTTTGTTTTTTGGCAGCTGGCTTCTTGAAAATCATGTCCAAAGTGGTCTGTTTCTCTTCTTCAACACCTGTCGGAAATGACAGGCAAGGGTGTCATTGTAGAGATCATTGATCCTGTTGGCCTCAGCTCTGTTTGGATAATGAGTGTTGGTAAACTCCTGAACCTCTCCCCATTTGACAAGGAAGTTTTTGTCAACTTTCACTCCTTCTGACGATTTCTTGCTTTGTTTCAATTGAAATCACCTTTCTGTTTTTTT